CAAATGATAATTACAAGTCTGAGTTCTTCTACATGTAGCCTGGATGTATTACCTCCTAGATTTCTTAAATCTGTTCTGAGCAGTCTTTTACCTTCACTCACGCATATAGTAAATATGTCTCTTGAATCTGGAACCATTCCCAATGGCCCTGAAAACGGCAGTCATCAGACCCCTCCTAAAAAAGAGGAGTCTGGATGCCTTGGCACTTAAAAGTTATCGGCCCATTTCAAATCTGCCTTTCATGGGTAAAATTCTAGAAAAAGTTGTCTATCACCAACTTACAGAATTTTTAATAATCAATCACTCTTTTGATATGTTCCAGTCTGGTTTTAGACCCCACCACAGCACAGAGACCGCTCTAGTGAAGGTAACAAATGACATCAGACTTAACACTGACGCAGGAAAAGTCTCAGTTCTTATCCTGTTAGATTTGAGTGCTGCTTTCGACACTGTCGATCATGGTATCCTCATTCAGAGACTTGAGGACTGGCTTGGTGTTTCTGGAACAGCCCTAAGCTGGTTTATATCCTACCTACAGGACAGAAAGTATTTTGTGGAGATCGGAAACTGTGTCTCAGACCATCTGGCCCTGACCTGCGGAGTGCCACAGGGCTCAATCCTGGGGCCTCTCCTGTTTAATATTTACATGCTGCCTCTGGGTAGGTTAATACACAGTAATAACGTGTCCTATCACAATTACGCTGACGATACTCAGGTCTATGTGTCCCTGACAGCAGGAGAACATGGACCAGTGGACTCGCTCCTTCACTGTATCCAACAGATCAGTGATTGGATGCAAAATAACTTTCTCCAGCTAAACACAGAAAAAAACTGAAATGATTGTTTTCGGACCTCAGAAACAAAGAGAGAGCGTTATCTGCCACCTCCAGTCTCTCTCCCTGAAACCCTCAACTCAGGTCAGAAATCTAGGAGTAATAATGGACTCAGACTTGAATTTCAATAGCCACATATCATCTGTGACATCATCAGCTTACTTCCACCTAAGAAACATTGCTAAAATTAAAAACATTGTGTCTAAAGCAGACTTGGAGATTCTTATCCACGCATTTGTCTCCAGTCGATTGGACTACTGCAATGGCTTGTTCACAGGTCTCTCTAAACAAGCGGTAAAACAGCTGCAGTACATCCAAAATGCTGCAGCTCGAGTCCTGACTAGAACCAGGAAGTACGACCACATTAGTCCGGTCCTCAGGTCTCTGCACTGGCTTCCTGTGGCTCAGAGAATAGATTTTAAAGTAGCTTTACTTGTGTACAAGTCTCTCCATGGCCTCGCACCAGGGTACATCCGCGACATGTTGGTGCCATATGAACCAACTCGGGCTCTGAGGAGCACAGGGACTGGACTTCTGTTAGTGCCAAGAGTCGGAACTAGACATGGGGAGGCTGCGTTTCAGATTCATGCAGCTAGAGTCTGGAACCGTCTTCCCGAGAGTGTGAGACAGGCGTCTACTCTAGCAGTTTTTAAAACTGAACTGAAAACAGTTCTTTTTAGCTGTGCATACAAGTGAATGATTTTACATTTGTTTTTATCTTTAATCTTTTTAATGCGCTATGATTATTTATGATTATTTATGATTGTAATCCCTTGTGTGATTTTAATTTTTTACGGTTTTTAACTACTTGTGTAATTTTATATATCTTGTGCTCTTAATCTGTCTTTTTATGTTTACTTAAATTCTAATGTTTGATGATTTATGCATGATGTTATATGGGTTGTGAGGCGCTTTGCGTTGCCTTGTGTAGGAAAGGCGCTCTATAAATAAACGTTGATTGATTGATTAGGGCCTGTCCTCTTATGGTGCAGTGCAGGTGTTCAAACACCAGGCCTGTGGGCCAATTGTGGTCCGCCAGACATTTGAGTCTCTTCTGAAATGATTCTCCATTATAATTAAGTTTTAACTGGCAGTCTTAATTGCAAGGTTAATTTGAACCCCAAGGCATTATTCCTAATTTTTTAAAACAAACTCCCTCTGGAAAATTACCATATACCTTCTAATGTGTTGGAAAAACCACCTGAATTGTTAACTAAACAAACTTTGTTAAATCTATTAAACTATTCTAAATACCTTCATAATGTTAAAGAAAAATGTGTATCCATAAAAGGGGAAGATTCAACTTTATTACGTTCGGCCTTGGTGTTTGTTTTGTCTGTCAGACCTCTGCTCCTATCACCCTCAAGAGTCACAGCCTTACAGAGCTTTGACAAACTCTGAATAATATCCTAATACTCAAAGCTATACTATACACTTGAATTTAAACAAAAAAATATTAACAAGTTAAAGTTTAAAATAAATAAAACTACACTAACCACCTGGTGTATGTGGGGTCTCTACCATTTAACAACTAAAAACTATTAAAAAGGTATCCAAACATATGGTAAATACTGTTTACGTGATGTAAATACATATATGTGTGTGCTACTGTATGTGTATGTAAAATACACAAAATGAATGTAACGAGTGGTATGTGTTCATATGTTCTTTGGGTAGGAAACAGACTTATAATATTCTTGGTTTTATTACGTGTACTGTAGTATCATCACAGTGTTAAAGACTTACCATTTCCATATTCTTGACCTAGAGAGTGTTCCAGATTTATTTACAGATGTGTAAATACAAGTATACATTTATTTACACTAGAGTACACAATACTTTACCTTGTACCTTTACCGAGCCAAATTATTTTAAATTTAAAAGTATAGAGTTGTGCTACACTTACTATTCACCTGTCTTGTGTTGTAATGCAACACTGAAATGTCCCCACTGTGGGACGTCTGAAAATCTCTTAATCTTATCATTACTGACTGTTGCTAAAATGAAAACTGACTAAAACGAGTGCAGTCAAAAATCACATAATGCAGCAAAAAAAAACAAAACCAAAAACTGGGGTCTCTCTTTGGCCTTCGTGCACCTATTGAAGGAAAAATATAAAACCTTAGTATTACAAAAATATACATTTGCCAAGTCTATCACTACAAAAAAAAGTACTTGGCTTTAAACATTTTTGGAGTCCTCATGAGGAAAATAGATAAACGATTTGGACCTATTTTGCTCCTGGTTTATTTTGTTTATTGCAAAGATGGCTTTGTTTACGCCTCTGAAATGTACGATTACTCCAGCCTCTGCCAGAGTTATTTAACATGCCTCATTTTCAGAGCAGTCGTTCTGACGTCTGGCACTGTCTCTCTGTGACGTAGAAGTCGAACTCTCCACGTCTCTATATTTTGGCTGAAAATGTCTTTTCAGCTGTTTTATGCCAATCACACACTTTCACACTTCTGTTCCCAAAACTACAAGCCCCTCCCACTCTGCGGCTCTAGGCTCTAACAGAAACAATGTGTAATGTTGTGTGTGTGCTGTGGGTCATTATTGTCCTTATCTCTCTCATACTATTCTCTCTCTCTCTCTCAGACCAGTTACATTCACACCAAACTCTGTTTTCTACATCACAATCGAGCAATGCATATTTCCAAAGTTATGAAATCTCAGGTCGTCTGACTAAAACATTACATTTACTAAATTGATTGTGGGATTTGGTGACAATTTACATTCAAATACATTATAGACAGACTTCTGTCAGAATACTATTATACTCCAAGGGATTTTTACCATCTTATTTCTTATTTTTACACACAGACCACAGATTTAGTCTCGGCTGTGGAAAACAACTGGGCAATTTGAAAACACAGAAACTCTGTTTAACTCACAACCTTCGGATTATTCAGAACATTTAAATGGATTTATGAAAAATTCCTTTGTCATGTTTCGCCTCTAAAGAAAAGAATGTGTCCTTCACCCATTCGGGGACGTTATGTAATAAATAAAGTTCTTAATCAAGGAGTATGTGGCCCACGGAATTGATTAAAGTAACCTATCCCCCACTCTATTTTTCTCTTCTTTTGTTTTTTTCCTCTGACAATAGGGTTTGTCAAGCTACTCTAAACTTTAGAATAGTCTAAATTTGTGCATACGTCAATGATCACATCCATCCCCAAATGAGTGCTTGTGTTTGTGTTGTCCTGACTTCTGGACATGTGTAGATGTGTGTTTGAGTCATGTTTTGTTTACGATACCCGGACCATGGTCCGGGTATCGGACCATGCATATTATATGAAATATACCACAGCATATTTCTATGCTGTGCTTTGCATTGATCACAGCCACAGCTCATGCACATCACACACTGCTTCTTCTATTTAAAACTATAGCTCTGCCTGTTGCTTAAAGCCGCGGAGAGTTGGGTCCGATAAAAGTGTGTGACGCGCTAAATAAGTAGAAAACAAACGAAGAGGTGGATCATAATAAACGCTGCAGTCACAGACCCAAACACACATGCACGCACACGCCTCCCACCACACACACACACACACACACACGGGCGCTCTCACGCACACGCTCACGCACACATGCACGCCGACAATACATAACTCCTCCATCAGCCAAACATTCATTCATTCACACAATGCCCAAACATGTCTTCTACAAAAACAAAGCAGCTGATAAACGCACAGCCAGAGCTGCTGCTGCAGCCGGTTTGACCACTAGTCCGTTTTACGGACGTCTGACGGACAGCAGCCAACGCGCGTCAACGGAGACGCGCCCGGTGGAGTCCAGGCCTAACAGTTTGAAGTGAGTGGTAAGTTAAGATTCTTCCTTTCACAGTCAAGAGTCACAAAGCCATTTTTTTCAACAACAGAGTAATGGGAGGCAGGGTCACTCTACAGGAGGTACATGCTGGAACTATTGTACATATTTTTAATGGTATAGGGAAACCGGAGCACCAGGAGGAATCATACGCAGACACGAATAGAGCAATTTTAATTAATATTTGTATGCAAACAATAATTATTCTTCTCTATAAAAAGTCAACTGCAGCTTTTCGGTCGAGTGCAATCAGATCATGAGAATAGATTAGGATTATATACAGTTTAGGACTATGGGAGAAGAGGAGATTACAGAACAGCTGGTCCCACAGAACGGCTAGTCCCACATAACGGCTGGTCCCACAGAACGGCTGGTCCCACAGAACGGCTGGTCCAACATAACGGCTGGTCCAACATAACGGCTGGTCCCACAGAACGGCTGGTCCAACATAACGGCTGGTCCAACATAACGGCTGGTCCCACAGAACGGCTGGTCCCACATAACGGCTGGTCCCACATAACGGCTGGTCCCACAGAACGGCTGGTCCCACAGAACGGCTGGTCCCACAGAACGGCTGGTCCCACAGAACGGCTGGTCCCACATAACGGCTGGTCCAACATAACGGCTGGTCCCACATAACGGCTGGTCCAACATAACGGCTGGACCTTGTTCTTTCACACGTACCTGTGATCCGTGGAATATTTTCACATCAGTCACAATATGATATTCTGATTCACATTCTTTCATTCCGCTCTAGCCTTGAAAGATCAAGGCTATGCTCACAGTCAGAGAGCAGCCGTCCTCCTGTGGACTCACCACCTGCAGAGGGTCAGTGAGGGGCTGGTGCTATGAGACTTGGGTGGCATCTCTGACTGCCACCCCCCTGACCCAGAAATGGATTAAAGGGGAGAAAATGGATGGATGGATGGATCATTCCGCTCTCTGTTCACACAGTACATGTTGAGAGTCGGAGATAAAATGTCTGCATTTTATCCATCATGAAAGAAATCTTCAGCGGCTTAATGTGTTTTACTATCGAAGGTCACATCGCGGCCGATAAGATCCCTGTTCACCTGCTTTGTGCATATATACATTTATAATATACAGTGCAAACGTTGACATTTAGGAAAAGAAAATCCCTGGTGGGGGTTCCATATTTGTAGATATTCCATGTTAAATGTTATAGTGATTTTCTGGATATGGGTCTTTTTATTGTCTTTAGGTCCCAAGCTTTTTTTTAGCCATGGCACACCTTCTTTTTCATTGAGACAAAAACATGGCACACCACCAGCTGCAACTGATGCAAAAATGAAACTGCAGCTTGTATGAAATCAAAGTCATTCTGATCAATGTAAATTAGACAGAAAATCAAAAAAGCACTAAAGAAAGTATTTCTAATCTTTTAACATTATTTTGACTATTTATGTACAGAAGTTGATGCTCGGCTTGGTCAGGACTGGAGCTGAAAGAGGAGCCTAATGTGCATTTTTTTAGTGGTTGGGGAAACTGGAGGAAACCTATGCAGACACGGGGAGAACATGCAAACTCCGCTCAGAAAAGCCCTGTTCCGACTGGGATTCGAACCCAGTATATTCTTGCTGAGTGTAGTAAGAGTGCTATCCACACAGTCACGAGCAAAACCCGATTAAACAGGCTAAATTTTACCTTTTCTAAATGTTGTTCCGAACAAATTCAACTGTGATTTGTTTCTGTGACCTGTTATCTGAAGACACGTGTAAAAGACTTTATATAGAATTAAAATGTGACACACGCTCCCTTTAAAATGTGGAAATCCACAAATACCTTCCTCTGTGTGTTTAATGTTCACTCCTTGAAGAAAGCAATGTCATTTTTTGTTCACTTTTTGGGATTTTCTAAGCTGTAGGACACTAATAACACAAATACTTATTTTTTTTTTCCCAATCCCTAGTTTTTTTTTTTTTATCGTAGGCCTTTAGCAAATTGTTTAGATGCAGCTTGATGCTAAAAGTGCCCAAAACCAAACTTCAAATAAGAAAAGATAAACTTAAAAATAGTGACTTAAAAGGGATAAACGGATATAGTGCCAGTGTTTTCTGACCATCCATCCATTCATTTTCTTCCGCTTCATCCGTTGCCGGGTCGCGGGGGCAGCAGTCTAAGCAGAGACGCCCAGACTTCCCTATCCACACACACTTCCTCCAGCTCGTCCGGGGGGACCCCAAGGCGTTCCCAGGCCAGATGAGAGACATAGTCCCTCCAGCGTGTCCTGGGTCTTCCCCGGGGCCTCCTCCCGGTGGGACGTGCCCGGAACACCTCCCCAGGAAGGCGTCCAGGAGGCATCCTGAACAGATGCCCGAGCCACCTCAACTGGTTCCTCTCGACGTGGAGAAGCAGCGGCTCTACTCCGAGCTCCTCCCGTGTGACTGAGCTCCTCACCCTATCTCTAAGGGAGCAGCCACTCTGCGGAGGAAGCTCATTTCGACCGCTTGTATCCGCGATCTCGTTCTTTCGGTCATTACCCAAAGCTCATGACCATAGGTGAGGGAGGGAACGAAGATTGACCGGTAAATCGAGAGCTTTGCATTTCGGCTCAGCTCCCTCTTTACCACAACGGTCCGATACAGCTCTGACTGCAGACGCTGCTCCCTCTTTACCACAACGGTCCGATACAGCTCTGACTGCAGACGCTGCTCCCTCTTTACCACAACGGTCCGATACAGCGACCGCATCACTGCGCACGCTGCACCGATCCGCCTGTCAATCTCACGCTCCATTCTTCCCTCACTCGTGAACAAGACCCCGAGATACTTGGACTCCTCCACTTGAGGAAGGACCTCTCCACCCACCTGCAGAGGGCAAGGCACCTTTTTCCGGTCGAGCACCATGGCCTCAGATTTGGAGGTGCTGATTCTCATCCCAGCCGCTTCACACTCGGCTGCAAACCGTCCCAGTGCATGCTGCAGGTCCTGGTTCGTTGGAGCCGACAGGACAACATCATCTGCAAACAGCAGAGATGAAATCCTGTGGTCTCCGAACCGGACCCCTCCGGCCCCTGTGTTTTCTGCTTCAATAGAAACAATAACATAAAAGAAAAATATATGTCCTGACTCCTGTGTATATGTAGCCTGGTCTTATCATACCATTGTACTCATTTCACTTCGTACTAAGGTCTGTATTTGGCGCAAACTTGACACCGACCTACAACACCCGCCTCCCCCGCTCTCTGATTGGTCGGAGGTGATTCAACCGAGGAAACTGCAGCCACTAGGATCAGACCAGACGTACATGTAGGAGATGATCATGGACCAGAGTTTACACATGGTAAGACCAGACGTACATGTAGGAGATGTTCATGGACCAGAGTTTACACATGGTAAGACCAGACGTACATGTAGGAGATGTTCATGGACCAGAGTTTACACATGGTAAGACCAGACATGTTTGGTCTGTGCCCTCACTGTAGTCACATGTTTGGTCTGTGCCCTCACTGTAGTCACATGTTTGGTCTGTGCCCTCACTGTAGTCACATGTTTCCTCTACAGTTTGTGTATATCGTTTTTTGTAGCAGTGCAGTACAATTAATTCATATATTTTAGTCCATTTTAAATTGTAATGGCCATAATTTTTATGTGTAGGAAATGATCATGGTCCAGAGTTTACACATGGTAAGACCAGACGTACATGTAGGAAATGATCATGGACCAGAGTTTACACATGGTAAGACCAGATGTACATGTAGGAGATGATCATGGACCAGAGTTTACACATGGTAAGACCAGACGTACATGTAGGAGATGATCATAGACCAGAGTTTACACATGGTAAGACCAGACCAGACCAGACTATCTTAGTGTATGTATTCATGTGGCTCAAAATAAGTCTAGATCTCATATTCTCCCCTGTCTCCTCCCAGCGTCCGATGTAATGTGTGCAGAGGTGATGTATGGGCCTCGCAGGTGACCACAGGTGAGTGTCCAGAGCCTGAATAATGCTTCCATAAATCACAGCATCGATCGCACACGAGCAGAGCACATGTGAGAGCTCTGAGCGCGGCAGAGACATGTTTTCAAATCTGCAGCACCAGAAGAGCTCGGTTTATCATTTTAAAACACAACACACACCTCTCAGCAGAATGGATTATGTAAAGTACAGCGGTGGCATCTAAAGGTCCTGCTAAACCGGGAGAGGTGTGAGTGTGTGTGTGTGTGTGTGTGTGTGTGTGTGTGTGTGTGTGTGTGTGTGTGTGTGTGTGTGTGTGTGTGTGTGTGCGCGCTTGTGTGCGTGTGGTAGTAGAAGCTGTAGTAGTAGCAATACTACAAGTAGTAGTAGCAGTAGTAGTGGTAGTAGCAGTAAAAGCAATAGTAGCAATAGTCGAGGTAGGAGTAGTTGTAGAAGTTACATTTTAGTCTTACTAGAGTAATATTATTTGAAGAAATCTCACTCTTGCCGGAGTACAGTATATAATCTTTGTGTGTCAGTTATCAAGGAGACCTGCTTCCATTTTATCAATGGTGTGGTGCAACTGTTATTCAGCAATTGTTTGTGTTACGACCCTATAGTTGAGCTCGTAGGGGAAGAGGGATGTAACATAAAACCAAGATGTAAAAATGGTAATTTAGATGGCCTTTTAATAAAACAGGCAAAAGGGGGTAACAGTTTGTACTGGACAGCGTCAGAGTCAAAATAAAACACACAAAAACACAGGGTTCTCAAATAAACACAAGCACAGAGTCACACAGGCAACCTTAGGCTTAAGCTTTAGCGCACACAGAAAACACGTTCTCTCAGAACGGTGGCAGACAAGACACTGATTCAAGCCGCCCCGCACAGAAGGAGCAGACTCGTTTTCAAGGCTGGTGCTGATTAGCCGCAGCGACATATTGGCCAGACGTGGAGAGCGCGACCCAATCTCAGAACCAGGGATCAGAACTGGGAGGCAGCGCGCGTAACCAGCGCACCATGCAGCGGGGCGGAGCCTGGGCAGAACAGCAGCACAGCACAGGAGGGGGGGAAGGCGCGGCCCAGTGCCAGCGGCCATAACAGTTTCTGAATGGTTTTATTGTGTATATTTTTTAGTTTATTAATTAAGTTGGTTTTGGTCTTAACACAATGGTGACCAGAATGGGAGATTGATCATAAAAATCATACACAGACATAATCTTGTATCGTATTGTATTTTTCATCAAGAAAAACAATAATAAAGGTCAAGTATGACTTGTATACATTGACCTGTTATCTGAGGACACTTATACACTGTCCCTGCAAAGTTAAACATTCAGAGTATCCATCCATCCATCCATTTTCTTCCCCTTAATCCATTTCTGGGTCGGGGGGGTGTCAGTCAGAGCTGCACCCAGTCCACAGAGCACCAGCCCCTCACTGATCCTCCTGCAGGTGCTGAGTCCACAGGAGCCTTGATCTTTCAGCGGGGGCCTCAGGCAAAGTGTAACATTGCATAATTCTCAATGCACCGGTTGTGAAATTTTGGGCCGGGACTTGTGGTAATCAGCTCACCTGTGGGGAACTGGGGGTCAAAAGGAAGAAAGAGAAAGAGAACATGACCCAACCCCCGACCCAAAAATGGATTAAGGGGAAGAAGATGGATGGATGGACGTCCAACGCCATCTTCTTTGTTACTTCTACTGAGGAAAGTGCGCAAACGCCCTCTACTGGTGTCTTGTTGCACGTACCACCATCGGCAAATGTCATCTTTATTTGCTGATGGCTGATTGTAGTTAACGAGGCGAACATCGGCCGATACCGCTGTTCAGTCGATGCATCTATAATAATCACCCAGATTAATGAGAGTAAATCCCCTGCAGGATGACGAGAGTGTGATAACTGAAACATGTAACAGAGGTAAAGACAAGATAATCCACGACAAAACACTGAACAGATCCCAGTGGAGAAGAGGAGAGCGGGAACATTTGGGGTCTTTCACAGATTATGGGAGTATTGAGTGATTATGTCAATAGCTCAAAAAACCTCAGGCACAGATATCTGGAGGACAAACATGGATTTAAGCTGCTGCAAGAAGAGAGAGAGAAATGGCATGACTCCAAAAAACAGCAGTGAGAATATTATCTACGGTGCTGTATGTGTTTATGGCCCACAGTGACTTTTCTGGTTTCTATCAACATTTATGGACATTGGTCCTCTTATGCACCAAGGTTTTGTCGATGCATGTTTTATGTTCAAACTGTTTGATTCTCTGATCTGTGTGGACGAATTCACAGCTTTGTAAAGTCCTCCGAGCTTACTACTGTTATTTAGGGTTATACAAAAATACATTGAATTGCCTCTGCTCTGAAACTGACCTTAACCCGGTTCTCAAACGGCCGGTGTGGTGGATGTAGTTTGGATTGATGCATAAACTAACACTCGCCCGACTTTGAGAAACATTCAAACTGAATACTCCACACCAGCCCCTCACTGATCCTCCTGCAGGTGTGGGTCCACAGAAAGATGGCTGCTCCATCAAGGAAGACACACTTTCAGCTAAGGCTTCAGGTCAAAGTGGGGTTAAGTGGATTGAACAGGGTCACACAAAATAACCATACGACTCGCAATACACACAAGTTGTGGGGGAGATCGAACCCACAACCACTAGGTTCAAAGACCAATGCTCTACCAACTGAACCACTGCCGGATTTTTTGTAATCATTATTCAAAAGGCAAAGTTACTGAACGGATCTGAGGAGAGGTTACTCTGCCCAACCCTTAAACCAGAACTCAGCCACTCACAGTTGTAAAACATAATCTGACTGACTGCCTCCAAATTCAATCAAATTCAATACATTTTTGTTTAGACCTAAATCACAACAGTAGTTATCTAAGAGGACTTTACAATTGTGTCGATTCACCAACACAGATTAGAGAATCAACAGTCTAAAATGTCCATAAATGTTGGTAGACGTCCTCAAAATCCGTCTTGGTTTTTGCATCTTTTACAGTTGTTACGGCCGGCTCAGGGCCATAACAAATAGGGAGGCGAAACGGGGGTAAAAAGTGCAAAAAGTATATTTAATAATAACAAAAGAGTATAACATGGACAAAAACCAAGGTATGGGATGTGAGCATGTTGTAATCAGTGTGTGGTGCAGGTGTGTGAGTGCAATGAAAGCCTGTGTGTGGTGTGCAGTGAATGTGGTGCATAAACCAAAAGACAAACTCAAATGTGCAAACAAAGGAAGAGCACCAGTGGAGGACCAAACAAGACAGCAGGGCCGGAGAGAGTGAGCAGCTCTCAGCTCCCAGCTGAAGAAGGTCCAGTGATGAGGAGGCGTGGCATGGTGCAGGGGTGTACCTGCACAGAGGAGGAGGCGGCAGAGAAGGCAGGCCAACACATACAGCACCCTCTCCTGGACACTAAGGGCCTGGCCCGTAACACCCCCCCCCCCTACAAGAAAGGGACCCAACCGGGCCCTTCATAAGCCCCAGAGTAAACTAGAAAACGTACTCTTAGCAGCTCAAAGGATGTTCCATCCAGCAACTAGGCATCTCAAACGGTTGGAAGAAACTCAGTGAAAGTGGCGTCAAGCAATGTACCTCCAAAATACAGTTGGCCCTGGGACTTGGGGTCTCCACCGTGCCGTCCCAGTGTCGCTTGCACGGTGGGCTGAAGCACCCACGCTTCCACCAGAACGGACCTGGCACCAGCTTCCAGACCAGTCCCCGTAGTCTCCAGCTGCCTCATCCGAGCTTGGCACCGGCAAATACCACGAAGCCCTGCCAGAGTGAGAAGGAACAGCACAACCACAACACACTGGCCTCCCCTCTCCAGCAGCTTCCCTTCCCCAGGATGCCACAAGCGTCGTGACTTAGCATCAAAGCCAGCCCTCTGAATAGGACTCGTCACAAAGACCTTAGAGCCGATCGTCACTTTGGCATTTAGCTCTAGACCTGACAGTGGAATGACAGACGAAAATAAACAGCTATGGCCACAAGTGTTCCTGACCCCACTATGGCTGCTCTGGTCATGACAGCTCTGTAACACAGCATCACAACGTTTTAAAGAACCCACCACCGGGTGCACAGGATCTCCCACTGATCGCTCCAAAGCAAAAGAGTTCTGCTCCACCAACAGGACGTCGAGTGTCACTGAAGATGGAAGAACTGCCATTGAAACATCGTTAGGAACACAAACACAATTTTCCTCTTCCACCAGGTCGTCAGGTGTCATTGACCAAGGAAGAACCGGCACAGGGAATTCATTGCCAGAAAGATCTTCCTCACTTTCAGATCCCACTCGTTTTGAACGTGTATCCATACAAACAGTAACTCCCTCCGGAAAATGCCTCTCAATTTCAGGGTTACTACATACCATAGGCGAATCAGACACCTGGACTGGAGGAGGCACATCAGCCCAGACCCGGCTACCTGCAATATCATTGCCCAAGATCACAGTGGCGCCATCTACTGGCAATGCTGGGTGCACTCACATAGACTCCTCACCCTGGACAAAATCACAATGCAGAACTGTATCACATGGACCCTCCATTACTTTTAAAGCCATTCCCACAACTGGAAACTCAGAGCCTGTGAACTGCAAAGCTTTCGTTTCCAGACCCCCTCCATTGAAACGTGGAACAAGCTTCAAGTCACTAAGTTCCTCCTTTGTATTTTCAGTTCTAGGACTACACTGCATCTCCTGTCTCTTCAAATAGAGTTTCTGCCGCTCGATGTCAAGTGTAGCCAATTCAACCTCCTGCCTCATTATCTCACGTTCTCTCTCTGCCTCTACTTGGGCCAACAGTAGCTCTTTCTGCTGCTCAAAAGTTAAACCCACAAGTGAAACCAAAATGCCCATTCCAAATAATATTTTCTTCAAATTGTCCTCAAGAACACTCCTCAAGACAGTTGAATCCCCAATAAAAACTTTGTAAAACTCTGCAATCGCAATTAATGCCTTTTAGTGCAGAGCTTCAAATCACTCTCACATGGTTCCTCCAGAAATTCCTCAACCACATCATCCATGATAACAAAAACAAAGACCCCCCAGAAGCTTAAGTGATAAACCACCAATGTGCCCTATAAAGTCAAGGATACCCCGCTACCTACCTACCCAAAAGCTTACTACCTCAAACCCTAGTCTTCGGGAAGCGTGGCGATGGGTTTTTATGCGCCAGATACCGATGGTACACAAGACGACCAAGTTGGCAATCAAGTGGCCACAGCGCGCTCCCGAGCCGATGTAGGGAAAAGGGGAAATGGAAGCTACGACCCGCTCTTAACTTCCACACTAAAGCCCCCCCCAAAAAAATGCAGTGAACCCACTGTTGGGAAACACCGCTAAGCCTACCCGGGATTCCTCAACTTTAACTTTTAACACACATTACAATTTATACACTTACCTTCTGGGTCTTTACAAACAGCCACGGCTGACCAAACTAGGATGAAATTTTTAGACCTGCTCTCAAACAGCACAAAATCCTGAAGACCAAAAAATACCTCCCGCACGTCTCCCACAAAGCGCACTAACCAAAATGACGTCACAGGGAAAAACCCCCACTGAGCCCGTCACACCAAACTCCAGGTACAGCTCAATTCAAAATGGCACTTAACCAACAAACAAGAGCTGACACAAGACTAAACAAAAGCGCTCTCAAACAAAACCAGTTTACCAAAAAATATCACAGATAACACAAAATGATATTTACCTCAAACAAATGCGGGTTTTTAGGACGGAGCCCCCAACTTGTTACGGCCGGCTCAGGGCCACAACAAATAGGGAGGCGAAACGGGGGTAAAAAGTGCAAAAAGTATATTTAATAATAACAAAAGAGTATAAAGGTATGGGATGTGAGCATGTTGTAATCAGTGTGTGGTGCAGGTGTGTGAGTGCAATGAAAGCCTGTGTGTGGTGTGCAGTGAATGTGGTGCATAAACCAAAAGACAAACTCAAATGTGCAAACAAAGGAAGAGCACCAGTGGAGGACCAAACAAGACAGCAGGGCCGGAGAGAGTGAGCAGCTCTCAGCTCCCAGCTGAAGAAGGTCCAGTGATGAGGAGGCGTGGCATGGTGCAGGGGTGTACCTGCACAGAGGAGGAGGCGGCAGAGAAGGCAGGCCAACACATACAGCACCCTCTCCTGGACACTAAGGGCCTGGCCCGTAACACAGTGTGTTGCTGGTACTTTGTCCTCCGTCTCGAGAACCCTAACAGAGAACGAGATAAGTGCTTTTTGTCGATTTCGGCAAAGTTCTGCTAAGGGAAACACCAACGTTCCAAAAATACGTCCTGTATACATCCATTACAGGGACTTCTGAAGACATTAGTACCACTTTAAGGATTTTACAGGCTCTCGTGTGACATCACAACATTCCGAACAGCCTATGTTTTGAACAGAGCACCCTCTGCTACAAATATGTAACCTAAAGTTCAAAGGATCTGGCAAAAGACTTTTAAGTTTAAAGCATTAACTAATGTAAGGACCCAAGAACCCATCCATCCAGTTTCTTCCCCTTAATCCATTTCCGGGTTGTGGGGTGGCAGTCAGAGATGCTACCCAAGTCACAGAGCACCAGCCCCCGATGCCCAAGAACCCAAAGCTGCGTTCCAAAAATAGCACATATATATATATATATATATATATATTTTTTTTTTTTTTTTTTTTTTTTACAACAAATATTTTTATGTTTGGGTGTATTTGGGGTTAAGGTGAAGGTATTTCCTCCTCTGCATTTGACCCATCCTTCAATACCACTTCAACAACCCATCTCCAGATGTTGATACTCCTGGTCAGGACTCCCAGACCTACTGTTACCTATTCTACATGTTTTCAGAGGTAGGAGAAACAGGAGCACCTGGAGGAAACCTACGCAGACATGGAGAGAACACTCAAATTCCACTCAGAAAGGCCCCGTTTCGATTAGGATTTAGACTCGGGACCTTTCCCTGGGACAATCCACATGAAGTTCCACATCCACGTCAGTAATTTAAGCAATACTCAAATTAGTTTCTCGCCTTGGCTTTTAACACCAACTGAGTTTTACCATTTTACTTTTTACATGTATGTGTATGTTAGACTGTTTTCTTTTCTTTTTTCTTTTCTGTGTTTTTGAGGCTTGCTTTACTCTTTAATTTCTTTACTCTTTGATTTGTGACCGCAGGGCCCAGGAATAATGGAGGGATGCAACAAGTAATTGATCTGACACAAATAAAAGAATGAGACCTAAAAGTAGGAAAATGTTTTTATTTAAATATATTAAATGTCATCATTAAAAAAGTTCAAGGATTATAAAATACGTGCTCCAATGTTAGCCAGAAAGAAAAACAACACTCAGGGCTGGCCAGTAGCGGCTGCACACGATGGAGGACAGAGAGGCTGGAATAGAGGACTGAGCACTACGCTCCGTGCCACACATTCATACACACTCCAAATCAAGAAAAGAGACAAACTGAAAATGTACAAGTGGTGAAGGGAGGTGCAAAATACCACAGCAGACCAAAGGAGTGATGGTGCAGCAGTGGGCAACTCTGTCACCAAATCCCCCATCACGAGAAGCCACGCCCGGACCAGGCCCTGAGCAGAAACGGATACAATGAGCACAACTACCCAATCACAGGGTTCAATACATTCAAATGAGCCAAGCACCAAACAAACACAGTAAATAGTAAATAAGTAAATAAAGAAACAACAAACACAAAACAAAATGAAATTCCAATTAGACCCAAATAAAAACTGCAAGGCACTCGGCGCCTATAAAAACAAGAAAGTGTTAACAAATGTCATTAATATTCCTCCTCTGCTTGTAAACTGGCATTACCTAGTATGACTATATAAGAGCGGCTACATCATAGCAGGCCGCCTCCTTTGCAGACGCAGCAGTCTGAGCCAGCGTCTAAAACACAAAGAGGAGAACTGAAAATTCCACCAAAAAAATGAGGAGCACAAAAGCACCTACCAGGCCTTCAGCAGTGAGAGGAATACCCGACCCAGGGACCACGATTAGCGCAGGAGGCACAGGGATGTAGCATCAGTACGGGTGTCTGCTGTGTGTTTATACTGTATGAGTGCTAATGTGATGGAATGCGGAAGTCTACGTTCCGGCTTGGGGGGGAGTTCCCTCTACGGCGGCTCATTAGGGACAAACACACTCACCGGTTACACTTTCTTTACTCTTTAAGGCAACACATGTTTTATAATAGGATAATTAAAGCATGTCGTGGTCTGGTCTGTTCAACATGTGATTTTTACAGGACTTTTAATGATGAGACAAACACAAACACATTTGTATTGTTTATTAACAACTATCACAATTCCTTCTGTATTAATTACTTGGTACAGGATTTTTTTTACTAAAGAAAAATGCATATTAATTCAGATTGATACAAAATAATGACTGTCATGCCGATTGATTTTGTACATGCTCCTTTTTACACTCTGTCTGTTTGAAATGTCATACAATAATATAAATGTCATGCAATTACAGACATTTCATACAATGATATACAGTGGGGCAAAAAAGTATTTAGTCAGCCACCGATTGTCCAAGTTCTCCCACTTAAAATAATGACAGAGGTCTGTAATGTTCATCATAGGTTCACTTCAACTGTGAGAGACAGAATGTGAAAAAAAATCCAGGAATTCACATTGTAGGATTTTTTAAGAATTTATTTGTAAATGATGGTGGAAAATAAGTATTTGGTCAATAACACAAATTCAACTCAATACTTTGTAATATAAACGTTGTTGGCAATAACAGAGGTCAAACGATTACTATAGGTCTTTAACAGGTTTGCACACACAGTCTTTACTTAACACGGATCAGTCGTCCTGTCTCCTTAGCAGAAAACCAGCCCCAAAGCATGACGTTTCCACCCCCATGCTTCACAGTAGGTATGGTGTTCTTGGGATGCAACTCAGTATTCTTCTTCCTCCAAACACGACGAGTTGAGTTTATACCAAACAGTTGTACTTTGGTTTCATCTGACCACATGACATTCTCCCAATCCTCTGCTGTATCATCCATGTGCTCTCTGGCAAACTTCAGACGGGCCTGGATCATCCATGTGCTCTCTGGCAAACTTCAGACGGGCCTGGATCATCCATGTGCTCTCTGGCAAACTTCAGACGGGCCTGGACATGCACTGGCTTCAGCAGGGGGACACGTCTGGCACTGCAGGGTTTGATTCCCTGTCGTCGTAGTGTGTTACTGATGGTAACCTTTGTTACTTTGGTCCCAGCTCTCTGCAGGTCATTCACCAGGTCCCCCCGTGTGGTTCTGGGATTTTTGATCACCGTTCTCATGATCATTTTGACCCCACGGAATGAGATCTTGCGTGGAGCCCCAGATCGAGGGAGATTATCAGTGGTCTTGTACGTCTTCCATTTTCTGATAATTGCTCCCACAGTTGATTTGTTCACACCAAGCTGCTTGCCTATTGTAGATTCACTCTTCCCAGTCTGGTGCAGGTCTACAATTCTTTTCCTGGTGTCCTTCGACAGCTCTTTGGTCTTGGCCATAGTGGAGTTTGGAGTCTGACTCCAAACTGTTTGACTCCTGAGTTCAAACAGGTGCCATTAATACAGGTAACAGGTGGAGGACAGAAGAGCTTCTTAAAGAAGAAGTTACAGGTCTGTGAGAGCCACAGATCTTCGTTGTTTGAACTGACCAAATACTTATTTTCCACCATAATTTACAAATAAATTCTTTAAAAATCCTACAATGTGAATTCCTGGTTTTTTTTCACATTCTGTCTCTCACAGTTGAAGTGAACCTATGATGAAAATTACAGACCTCTGTCATTAATTTAAGTGGGAGAACTTGGACAATCAGTGGCTGACTAAATACTTTTTTGCCCCACTGTAAATGTCATACAATAACATAAATGTATTGTATTGTAAATGATAGCACTCAAAGTCATGGAGACACTTTCCTGACTTCCTCATCAGTTCGACTCAGCAGCCTCTGTGGTCAGACGTGACTAAAGGTTCTCTGCATTCACACTGGAATCCAAACAGACGACAAAGATGGACGTGTATTGTGACGATTTGCGACGCAGGAATGTGTTTTGTGACGCTGTTCTCAAAGTGGAGGATTCAGAGTTCCCATGTCATAAACTCCTGCTGTCCCACTCCAGCAAATACTTCAGGTAAGAACTCACACCAACACCTCAGAACACCTGCACTGAGTCATGGAAGAGTCACATTGAAGATGTTTTAAATGAAATTATGTATCTATAAACGTGTGAATGACGGGTCAACATGACCAACCATCTGGAGGGCCCTCGTGCTTACCACAGCGCTTCAACAGTTTGGAGCAGTTCAACAGCATGCGCTGTCTGGACCTGGCAACCAACAGGTGGCAGGAGATGCCCCCCATGTACCACCGCCACAGCTACGTCAGTGTGACTGTGATGCACGGCTGCATCTACGCAATCGGGGGATTCGACGGAGCATTACGACTGAACACGGCTGAAGTCTTCAACCCTCAGACCAATCAGTGGTCTCTGATCGCACAGATGAACCAGCAGAGGAGTGACACCAACTGCGCCACACTTGATGACAAGGTTAAAGAAGAGAAAACATGCATTCATGAGAACGTGCTGAGTGTAATGTTGACCACACAAACACCTTTTGTGTTTTGCAGATCTATATTTGTGGCGGATTTGATGGCACTCAGGTTTTAGAAACGGCTGAATGCTATTGCGCAAACACCAACCAGTGGACTTACATCGCCCCTTTGACCAGCAGGCGCAGCGGTGTCTCGGTCACTGCCTACTCCGACCACATCTATGCAGTAAGCCTCATTCTCATCTCACCTTTATGAGTCACATTATACATTATACATCATACACAGTCACTCCTCTGTGGTTCAAACATGTTCTTGTGTTGGAACATTGTTGTCCTTGATAAAAGCTCTCTTTCTACAGACTGTATTCTAATAATTCCCTTCTATCTCCCTTCTCTGCGGCAGGTCGGGGGCTTTGGTGGTGTTGAGTGCCTCAGAAGCGTGGAGGCCTACAACCCGCAGACCAACTCTTGGCATGAGGTGGCTCCCATGATCACCACACGCAGTTTGGAGGTCCTGAACGTCCGCTTCTTTGCTGTGGGAGGGTACAACGGCGTCAGCACCACATGGAGCGTGGAGACGTACGACCCCCTGGTGGACCGCTGGAGCGAGGCCCAAGCCACCAGCCTGTTCCGCAGCGCACTCAGCTGCTGCGTCATCTCTGGTATTCCCAACACAGTGGCCTGATCCCTCTGCTAGATGTGGACTCTGACGAAAACGATAACTAACAGATATAACCTGACTCCTTTGATACAGACGCTTTATTAGAATAAGACTATTTTGTTCACGTTTACCTTTTATGTAAATAAACTGTTTGTTTTTGGACCTCCTTTTCCCCTCTCTGTTCCACGGCCGTTTCATTTCTGTTACTGAGCCACACTCTCTAGATCCTAACACGTTGTAATAAGGACAATTAATAGATTAATAGAAAATCTGTAAAATTCTAGCTGGTCAGGAGGGCCAGCTCCACTCTGGGCTGCTCCCTGGACTCTGTGGAGGAGGTGAGGGACAGGAGGCCCCTGGACTCTGTGGAGGAGGTGAGGGACAGGAGGCCCCTGGACTCTGTGGAGGAGGTGAGGGACAGGAGGCCCCTGGACTCTGTGGAGGAGGTGAGGGACAGGAGGCCCCTGGACTCTGTGGAGGAGGTGAGGGACAGGAGGCCCCTGGACTCTGTGGAGGAGGTGAGGGACAGGAGGCCCCTGGACTCTGTGGAGGAGGTGAGGGACAGGAGGCCCCTGGACTCTGTGGAGGAGGTGAGGGACAGGAGGCCCCTGGACTCTGTGGAGGAGGTGAGGGACAGGAGGCCCCTGGACTCTGTGGAGGAGGTGAGGGACAGGAGGCCCCTGGACTCTGTGGAGGAGGTGAGGGACAGGAGGCCCCTGGACTCTGTGGAGGAGGTGAGGGACAGGAGGCCCCTGGACTCTGTGGAGGAGGTGAGGGACAGGAGGCCCCTGGACTCTGTGGAGGAGGTGAGGGACAGGAGGCCCCTGGACTCTGTGGAGGAGGTGAGGGACAGGAGGCCCCTGGACTCTGTGGAGGAGGTGAGGAGCTCCTTCAGTGGAAGACTGAGACACCCTCAGTGCAAGAAGGAGCAGGGCCTTTATCCCCACCGCTGTCAGACTGTACAACAAGTCACTTTAAGTCACTTGCATTAGGACTGAAAAACCTGCACTACTATTGACACTGTTTCTTTGCCACTTTTATTGTACATAATTTATCCTGCATTTAATATTTTAACATTTCTTTCTTTTGCACTACCCTGAGTGATTCTATCCATGCCAGATGTGACATGTGCTTTTTATTTTTTATTATTCCTTCTCTACTCCTACTTCTCTCTCTGACTGTTGCACTGAGCCAAAGCAATTTCCAAGTGTGTGACTTCCTGTTACTTACGTGGCAATAAAAATGATTCTGATTCTGACATGTACATTTCTCCATCTTATCTTATCTAAGATATTGGTCTGTTTTAGACAAGATGGGTGTGGGTTATAGTCTTGAGTGTGTTCTGGTTATCCCTGATGTTCTTACACAGACATGGTTAAACAACTTGAAAAAAGTGCTTGGTGAAAGAGAAAAAAAATTGTATTGCCCTTTTTGAGAAAATTATGTAAAACTGACTGTGAAGATTCTAACAATAATAATCAGAATCAGAATCATTTTTATTGCCACATAAGTAACAGGAGGTCACAGACTTGGAAATTGCTTTGGCTCAGTGCAACAGTCAAAAAGAGATAATGAAAATAAAGAATGAAAAACACTTCTCAGGAATAAATTTAAATTTAAAATAGAGTTACAGTTACTATTTACAATATACAAGTGCACATGGTGCACACAATGTAAGGTGACAGCAGTACAGTGAAGTAAAGTGACGTATGATGGGCAGTAAAGTGACTTTATAAAGGGCGGGGGGACAGGTTAAGAAGTGTTCAAGAGTCCAACAGCAGAGGGGAAGAAACTGTTCTTGTGGCGGGAGGTTCTAGTCCTGATGGACCGCAGCCTCCTGCCTGAGGGGAGTGGTTGGAATAGTCCATGTGCAGGTGAGAGGGGAGTGGTTGGAATAGTCCATGTGCAGGTGAGAGGGGAGTGGTTGGAATAGTCCATGTGCAGGGTGAGAGGGGAGTGGTTGGAATAGTCCATGTGCAGGTGAGAGGGGAGTGGTTGGAATAGTCCATGTGCAAGTGAGAGGGGAGTGGTTGGAATAGTCCATGTGCAGGGTGAGAGGGGAGTGGTTGGAATAGTCCATGTGCAGGATGAGAGGGGAGTGGTTGGAATAGTCCATGTGCAGGTGAGAGGGGAGTGGTTGGAATAGTCCATGTGCAGGTGAGAGGGGAGTGGTTGGAATAGTCCATGTGCAGGTGAGAGGGGAGTGGTTGGAATAGTCCATGTGCAGGTGAGAGGGGAGAGGTTGGAATAGTCCATGTGCAGGTGAGAGGGGAGTGGTTGGAATAGTCCATGTGCAGGTGAGAGGGGTCGGCTGTGATACGACCAGCCCGGCCTCGAGCTCGGGCGACGTACAGGTCCTGCAGCGATGGAAGGCTGCGGCCGATCACTTCCTCTGCAGAGCGCACAATGCACTGTAGTCTCTGTTTGTCCCTGACTGTGGCTCCAGCGAACCACACGGTGATGGAGGAGGTGATGGAGGAGGTGATGGAGGAGGTGATGGAGGAGGTGATGGAGGAGGTGATGGGGGAGGTGATGGAGGAGGTGATGGAGGAGGTGATGGAGGAGGTGATGGACTCGATGATGGCCGTGTAGAACTGCACCAACATCTGTGCAGGCAGCTTGGCTTTCCTGAGCTGCCGCAGGAAGTACATCCTCTGCTGGGCCTTCTTGATGAGGGAGCTGATGGTCGGCTCCCACTTGAGGTCCTGGGTGATGGTGGTGCCCAGGAAACGGAAGGACTCCACAGAGGTGATGGGGGAGTCCATCACGGAGGGTGGGGGTGGGGGGACAGTGCTCTTCCTGAAGTCCACAATCATCTCCACTGTCTTCTGGGCGTTCAGCTCCAGGTTGTTACCACTGCACCAGGACACCAGCCGGTCCACCTCCCTCCTGTAGGAGACACCAGGACACCAGCCGGTCCACCTCCCTCCTGTAGGAGACACCAGGACACCAGCCGGTCCACCTCCCTCCTGTAGGAGACACCAGGACACCAGCCGGTCCACCTCCCTCCTGTAGGAGACACCAGGACACCAGCCGGTCACCTCCACCTCCCTCCTGTAGGAGACACCGGACCCAGCCGGTCCACCTCCCTCCTGTAGGAGACACCAGGACACCAGCCGGTCCACCTCCCTCCTGTAGGAGACACCAGGACACCAGCCGGTCCGGTCCACCTCCCTCCTGTAGGAGACACCAGACACCCCCCTCCTGTAGCCGGCCTCACACCAGCCGGTCCACCTCCCTCCTGTAGGAGACACCAGGACACCAGCCGGTCCACCTCCCTCCTGTAGGAGACACCAGGACACCAGCCGGTCCACCTCCCTCCTGTAGGAGACACCAGGACACCAGCCGGTCCACCTCCTCCTGTAGGAGACACCAGGACACCAGCCGGTCCACCTCCCTCCTGTAGGCGGACTCATCGTTGTTGGAGATGAGTCCAATGAGGGTGGTGTCGTCCGCGAACTTGATCAGCTTCATGGAGTCGTGGCTGGAGGTGCAGTGGTTGGTGTACAGGGAGAAGAGCAGGGGAGAAAGAACACAGCCCTGTGGGGCTCCTGTATTTATAATCCGAGAGTCCGAGACATTCTTCCCCAGACGCACTCGCTGCTTCCTGTCCGTCAGGAAGTCAGTGATCCACCTGCAGGTGGAATCGGGCACGTTGAGCTGGGAGAGCTTGTCCTGGAGCAGGGATGGCAGGATTGTGTTGAAGGCAGAGCTGAAGTCCACGAACAGGACCCTGGCGTAGGTCCCCGGGGAGTCCAGGTGCTGTAGGATGTGGTGGAGGGCCAGGTTAATGGCGTCGTCTACAGATCTGTTGGCTCTGTAGGCGAACTGCAGGGGGTCCAGGAGGGGGGAGGTGAGGGACTTGAGATGGGAGAGAACCAGGCGTTCAAATAATAATAATAATAATACATTTTATTTCTTAGGCGCCTTTCTTGTCACTCAAGGTCGCCTTCCATACAAGTAAAAAAGTGTATTTTTAAAAACAGTTAAAATACAAAGTGAAACTCATCATGGACAGAGGTGTGTGTGGTTATGTTAGTGAGTAGTCTTGTCTAAACAGATGAGTTTTGAGGTGGATTTGAAGAATGTGATTGAGTCGGTGTTACGGAGGTCAGGGGGGAGAGTGTTCCAGAGCTGGGGACCAGAGCGGCTGAAGGCTCTACTCCCCATGGTGCCGAGGAGGAGGGACGAGAAGCTGGAGGGAGTGGGCAGGAGATCTGGAGGAGGTCAGTCAGGTATGGAGGAGCAAGGTTGTGGATGGCTTTGAATGTGAGGAGCAGGATTTTGTATTGGATGCGGTCAGTGATGGGGAGGGTTGCATTGGCACCGGAAGAAGAATTCTCCAACATGAACTAAACCTGTTGGAACATGGCTCTGTGAATAAGATAAACATTTATTTGTCCCGTGGGGGAATTTCAATGTCATAGTTGTGCACTTTATAGCCGAAAAAATTGAGAATTAGGAGTTCGCAGATTAAATGTCCATCCATCCATCCATCCATTTTCTACCCTTTAATCCATTTCTGGGTCAGGGGGGTGGCAATCAGAGATGCCACCCAAGTCTCATAGCACCAGCCCCTCACTGACCCTCTGCAGGTGGTGAGTCCACAGGAGGACGGCTGCTCTCTGACTGTGAGCATAGCCTTGATCTTTCAGTGGGGGCTTTTTGGGCAAAGTGGGGTTGAGTGTCTTGCCCAAGGACACAACGACAGCAGTCATCAGTGGGAGTCGGTGGAGAAGGTGCAGAGGTGGGAAATGAACCCACGACCTTCTGGCCTTAAGGCCAATGCTCTACCAACTGAGCTACTGTCGCCCCAGATTTAATGTATCAGTTTAAATATACAAAAGGAGACACGGGGGAAACACAGTAGGGTGAGGGAGGCAATCCACGGAACAGACAGAAAGTAAACGCACAAAAGACATGAGAACCGATATAATCAATATCATGAATACTTAAATAGTTTTATTTGAATGCATGTTTTCTTATAGTTGTATACATCTTTGCTCATGTCTCTGTGATGTTGCCTTGATGAGTTTTTCTCTTAAAGTTAGATGAAAAGTTATTATGTGCACTATTGTAAGTAGCTTTATAGAATTACTGTATGTTATTATTTCTTTGTATGGATGGATTTGTTTCTGCTGCTGGACACATGAATTCCCCTGAAAAGTATCTATCTCTTTACCTACATACTGTACCTGTTTATCTATTAAAATCTTTGGTTCATATCTTTTCTCTCTTTCATCCGACAGATTCAAACCTGTTTTGTTGCCACTGTACACACATTGTTGATTATAATTGCTTCTCTCTCTACTGCAGGGGTGCTCACACTTTTTCAGCATGCGAGCTACTTATAAAAGGATCAAGTCAAAATGATCTACCTACTACAAAAATGCAAATCATATATTTATTTCAAAAAATATTCTTTATACCTACAATGTATGTTTATGTACATGCAAAACCGCATGAGCCAATTTAGCACAACACAATTACCTATGTACATTTTTTGTCATTACCCGAGTTTACTCTGATGACTTGCACTGAATTGAATCGGCCAGGGATGCATAGTCCGGAAAATTGGTGGTAACTCGCTGACAAGTTTGTCGTGGTTTAGCTTTCCTGCACTGAGCGCGGTTGTTTGCGCATGTGCAGTCACCTAAGTGTCAGTAAAACATTACTGAGTAAAACACACATGTGCAGTCACCTAAGTGTCAGTAAAACATTACTGAGTAAAACACACATGTGCAGTCACCTAAGTGTCAGTAAAACATTACTGAGTAAAACACAGATGTCATTTGACTGTGGTGCCATGTCCATGTGCCATGCCTGTTTTTTTAAAATCCAAATATTTCCCCTCCTCAGTTTATAAAATAATTTGCATCCACACATCTGCGTTATCAATCACATTCGTAACATTCCAAACATGTGCGTCTCTTACGTCCTGTCCTGCGTTGGGGAAAAACACGGAAGTGGGCGGAGCTTTGATGCAGACGCCGGTAACGGCACTTTTACAGTCATAGAAGACACTCAGAGTAAAGACGTATGTTTACAAGCACTGACCCCGTCCTCAGTCCTGGTTTAGTCCTGGTTTAGTCCTGGTTTAGTCCTGGTTTAGTCCTGGTTTGGTTGTTTTCGAGCGTGAGTCCCCGCGATCACTTTGCTGCTCTCTGATGTGGAGGATGTTTGCTGCTGCGAGCATCTCACAGCGAACAGTTTTTAAGGTAGTATGATCCATGCTTCAGTGATCAGAGGAATTTAGGGGGGTACTGTGGCGTGCGAGAACGCAAAACTCCGGTTATCTCTGTCTACACACAAATGCATTAACGGAGTTTTCAAAAATCTCCACTTTTCCCGGAGTTTTTTGTATATATTCGTTTAGAATGTGTAATTTTTTCATTTATTTAATGCGATCTACCAATACTACCTTTGCGATCGACTGGTAGATCGCGATCGACGTATTGAGCACCCCTGCTCTACTGGGACTGCATTATCACATTTTATCACCTCAGATAAACCACGGCACAGAGAGAGTACAGAGAGTATACTGGCAACAGGAGCGGATTATTGCTGTTATTTATGACGCCGTGAAATTAGTCTGTGTTATGGAACGTGATTAGTCAAGGGGACGGTAAAATGTGAATGTACTGGGAAATAAAAGCAGTGTCTGGAGTCACTGTTTCAAACTCCAATTGGATTATAAACAAGTGAATTGTCTTAACTCTGAACTAAAAACCGGGGGTCTGTAACTTTCAAAACACAAAGAAAACCAAAAAAACAAACAGATGGGGTCTATCACTAGCTTCACATCTTTGGATCATTCTCTGAGCTGTGAGTTTGGGCAGACGGCCGAGTCTAGGTAGATTTGCAGTTGTGGCATACTCTTTCCATTCCAGTGGGATTGATTAAACAGTTCTCTGTGAGATCCGGGATCTGGGAGCCGCTTGGGGAGACCGGGAAGACCAGTTTGCAAAATGACTGTAATCAAAGAGTCCCACATGTTTTAGCCCTTTCCTGAGGCTGTTTGTTGCGTGTGGAAGCTTATATTAAGCGAAGCTTATAGCTTGGAAAAAGCGTATAAATATTTAGAACACAGCATCACTACCTTTATCCCTTGTCATCCTGAGTTGGTAAAATGAAAAATGAGCAGCATTAAAGCTCGAGGCGTCCTGATCAGATGACCTGGCAACCCGTCCCACCTCCTACTGACACTACAGATATTTACATTTTCTGAGTTGTTCCTTGTTGATTCAGAAGAGCTTAAAAACGGTGGGAATCCGGGACATTTACTGTATTAAATGTATCGATATTGTTCATTCTGCTCTCTATGGACCAATGACTTTTATATGTTTGTTATTATTGCATTTTCTTGATTCTCTGATCTTGTTGTTGTTGAACCGACGAATTTGCAAAGTCCTTGAGGTTCCAAATAACAAATTGCTGCTGTTATTTAGGACTATCCAAAAACAAATTGAATTGAAGTGAATAGAATAGAAATACACAGCATGTTCCTTTTCGTTAAAAAATCGTACAAAAAGACAATTTAAGAACAAATGAATTGGAGATGCCCGATGTGTATATACTTAATTATTTTACAT